CCCCCAAAACCCCAAAACCCCAAAACCCCAATAACTAAAGATATTTAATCAATATTGAATACCAAAGTTCCCATTCAGATATTATGGAAAGAGTTAATTCAGCTACACATCAATGTACTTCAATTATAATCGTTTAGCCTATTCCAAGTCTCCACATCCAAAGATGGTGCTTCTCAGTCTGGAGGTTATCGGTAAGTAAGGCTTAATGTCTTTGGATTGGGTGCATACATCCTGAATTGACTGAATTTCACATTCAAATCACATTCAAATATAGCTAAGATCGGAGCATTCTTCGACAAGAAACTGCCAAGACAGGATTTGCATCAGTATCTCAACAGTATTAGTAAGTCACACTTGACTGCAAAATATAAACAATCGAATAGGACAGTTAGAAGCAGACACTCAGCACACCATTGATGAAGTTATAAAAGAATCACTGTCAGATGATGACTCTGAGAGTTCAGATGGCTCTTCACTACCTGATTCTGATCATATAGATCTTGATGATGAGACAGCCACTGAGATCAAAGCAGATCTTGATGAACAAGAAGCACTTCTTCGTCAAGACTCCCACAAAACCAGACAAGAACTTATTCAGATGCGTGATGGCCTCATCTTGAGTTTGATGCAAGAGTTCCACCCTGAGAAATACTCAGAAGTCAATGCCTTAGTTGAAACATACACAGCAGACAAGCTAAAAATTCTGTCAAAGAACACTTCAGGAGCATCGAATTCAGTGCAAGACTCTTCAGTGAGTGATAGAAAGAAGCTGTGTTTCATGAGAACCAACAATGCTGCTTTGATAGAGTCCATTGAGTCAGAAGTTCCTGATCTGCCGATGAGCATCAAAGCATTTGCTTCATCAAAACTTTCTCATGAAGCTGATGAGACTCTTCATCAGATTCTTGGCTTGAGCAGCTCAAGCGAACAAGCCCAGAGCTTTGCCAGCGAGTTCTCCAAGTTCTTGAAGAAATGGTAATCCTCACCTGTATGACATTGTAGTCCAAAGATCCCATGGAGATCATCTGTCATTGACATTGATCCAAGTGAAGTCGTCAAAGTATTGGTTTACTTCTATCTGTGTCAGTCTCCGAAGTCAGATGCTGACAAACAAAGGATTGATTTCTGTTTCTCTGGACTCGTTGAGTGGTATGCTGACTGGGCTGAAAGCCAAGGTGAAGATCCTCAGGCAATCATCGAGCTTGCTGATCAAACAGCTGAGAAATTTGGTGGAGACTCTGCTAAGTTGGAACAGCTAAAGCACATTCTCTTCGATGATCTGTCAGACAATCAAAGATATTATGTTATTTGGAATATCTCAGTGTTTACTCTCGGAATAGTCGAAGACAAACATGATATTCACTATAAGGTAAACTCCTCCCTGACACTAGTGTTTATCATGCATAGGTAAACCAAGCAGCTCTAGACTTCTACATGTCGAACTTCTTGGCTCAGCTATACTTGATGGCCAAGGGCAAGCAAATGTATCTGATGCTGTACAAGAAAATATCCAAGATATTTTATGGCAGCAACAAAGGTAAGTCCAACAAAATATGCTTGTAGACATGTTTTCATCAGACTATTACAAAGAGTTCATGACAAAGAAGCCGACAAACACAGTTGATTACGTGTCCTTCATAGAACACATAGTTGAAAATCCTGACTTTGAGAAGAGATACATTCAAGATGCGATCAAATTAATCTATATGTATCAAGAAAGATTCTCAAAATAAGGATTCGAACATCACTGCAAAGCTTCTCAAGAAAATATTCAAGAAGTCTGCAGGCATCATTAAAGACAATGGTAAGACTTTTGGATTTATTGGCTTGTGGGTACATTCTCAATGTTCACCTGACTTCGCATAGACGGAATTATGGCTAGGTTTGAGTGAATTACTCCAGATGCAACATTCTCCAAGCATGCGGTGATAGCTCTATCAGGTTGGATGAGTGAATCAAAGTCTTCTCACAAGCGAGAATGGAAAGGTTTAATCGAGGCACTTGAACTTGATTCGAGCTTTCCAATCTATTCTTTTTCATGGGCTTCTTCTACTGTTTGGGATATGTTAAAGGCCTTATTAAAGCCAAAATGGTCAACCATCTTGAAATGGTTGATTACGAAAATAAATAAGCGATTAAAAATCCCAGCGAAGATCTTAGATGTTATTTTAAAGATTAGAGGTCAGTTTATAGATAGTATCAAGTCAGGAGAAGCAACAGGAAAGCTTCTTGCTCATTCATTGATGTCTCAGTTCCCCTTCAAAGATACTTCGATAACTTTACTTGCATTCTCTCTTGGCAACCAAACCATTTACAGCTGTTTGGAAGAACTCAAAGCTTATGACTGTGATCACATCAGTAAGCTCATTTCTAATCATCTAGTTAACAATGTGTATTTTCTTGGAGGAGCTGTCTCAGTGCAAGACCCAACTGCCTGGAAGCATACTCTCTCGGTGACCAACGGAATCAACAACAACTGCTATTGCACGAGCGACTTCATCTTACAACTCTATAGATTTTCCCTCTTGAAGTATCCAATCGGGTTAAGCCCAATTCTCGTAGACTCTGACAGATACGAAGAATCAAAGGAGGATGAAGAAGAGAGTCCTGATGGCTACAGACTAATCAACCACGACGTAACTCAAGAAGCTAGTGGGCATACCTACTACAGGCGTAATATGAAGAAGATCCTTGGTAAGATCGAGTTCATAGGATAACATCAAACATTTTGGGCAAATTCAACTGTATAATTACTAAAAGGGGTTTTGGGGTTTTGGGGTTTTGGGG